TACCTCCTCTGGGCACTGGCAGCTTAATGTATATGCTTGGAGAGGGACTTACAGTGAAAGAAATATTTTTATTTAGTAAGTTTGAACACAATCAATGGATCTGTGGGGTTTATTTCATATAGATGCTCACCTGAACGAGTTTGTGTTTGCAGTGTATTCTTGGCTATCGTGCTCCTCTGTTAAGAAGGAATGGCTGCATGTTTCTGGCCATGTCATCATGAGTTGTGAATGACAAACCAAGTGGCGTGTTTTATTTGATTGCTGCTGTGCTTGTGAATAGCTCAGTGCTGACAGCCTGGGAGAAAAGTACCATTAAATGCCTTGCAAGAGGCATAAGATGGGCTGCAGCGCTGGAAGGTTTTCTCCTCCAGCCCAGGCATTATGCCTCATTTCTGAAGTTACCATCCCATTGACTTATTTGCTGGGCTGTCATGTCAGCTATAGCAATGTTTTTGACACCACTATATTTTGTGACATTTGTTCCTTAAAAAATGGGAATAAGGTCACACTAAGCAGTCGTGAATAGCCATCAACTTTCAATCACTAATAGCTGGGGTGGCATTTGAAGCAGCAGCTCTAGGTGGGGACGAAAGGCTCTGTATCCTACTGATGGTGCCTTCAGCCAGTCACAGGTGGAAGCAGGAATGAGAAGTCTGAGATGCACATTTAAAATTGCAGGGACAGCACTTACTATGAAGACATTATTTGAAATAGTGTCTAGACAGCAATAGAAGTGTGCTTAATTCTTTAATTTTTTTAATTCTGAAAACTTAATTTTTTAAAATATATTTCATGTCCTACATAGGGTCCCAGTTAGTGCACAGAAAAAAATATGTTGCTGGTTGGTTTTACTGCTGTGTTAGCTGAAGATGCAACTCCCATTCACAGAAAAGCCTCCAGCTGGGGATAAGTGGTTCTTTATTCACAGCATGTGTCGATATTTGAGTGATGCTAACATTGGACCTACAGGTATCTGGTGGTTCTGATAAACCAGTCCACGGCAGCTCCCATGTTACCTGTGAGGCTGCTTTCAGCCAGTGTCGGTAAAGTTGAGCGGGAACTTGAGCTAACGAATCCTGCAAAGGTAATTAGCTTAATTGTATTAAATTTTGAGGAAAAAGTAAGGGAGCATCACTTTATGAGTTTAAAATATGTGTGTTTGGGAAAGACAAAAAGCCAGTTTGTGAGAAACAAGCAAGGCATTTCATAAATGCTCTGTGTATAGAGGCACGGTGATGGCTTGTGGAAAAGCAGCCGTTGAGTGTGGAAATGTTAAACATCTCCAGTGGTTGTTTATTTGAGAAGATAACACTTGAAGGTACAGCTAAATATGCTCCTGAGGCCTTTCTTCAACCAGAAAACAGTTTCATATAAAAAGATCCTTATTTTTACCCAATCAATATTTTGCATTATTTCCCAGTTTACTTCACAGACATCAAGCTTACAGTTTACTAGAAACCTCACCAAAGCAGGAGAATTTCTTTCTCCTCAAAATGGTGAGAGAGTAGTTCACTACTTACTTAGGTCATTTAACTTGGTCATAAATTACAGAATGTGAGTTATGACTAATCAGAGAAAGCAGTTCAGTATTATGAACTAAGAAAAGCAATCGTCCCTTAAGTTTCCACGCTTTTGTGAAACTTGAATTGCAAAAATAATTTCTTAGACCAAGAATGTTTTAAATTATATCTTTTCCTGCACTCACCTTTAGCAGCACCATAACACCTGAACAACTATCCTAAATTTTAGGAAATACTGATCTTTACATATCAGTTATGGTACTCCTTATGGCTCATCCTTGTTTAGTAGAATTGAAGGAAGGAAAGCTGCTGGATGGGTATTGGCTTCACAAAGAAAAGTAATTTTGAAGTTCTTGTTAAATTGCAGTGAGTGTAAAACTAAACTGAGATTTAATTACATTTTTAATTAAAGGAATAGCTATTGATTATGTCATTGAATATGTGTTGTAGCCAGCCCTAACAAATAGCAATGCTACAAGAGATCATTAAACTAGTTGTTAAAATTCCAAGTGAATGAGAACTAGAACTGGTGTGGATAAAAGGCACAGCAATGCTGGATAGAAGAAAAAAATAACGAACTAAGTGAAAAATACATTAATTTATAAAATTTTAGTTACTGATGGTTTTATGTCCTGTCATAATTTATCTATGGAACAAAACAAAGACAAAATGGGAACAATTTTTAAATAAGAAACTTGGGCAAAGTTTTATCTTGGGTCTTGAAAGCGAACAGTGATTTAGACAATATTTCTCATGAGCTTTATGTGAAGCAGGATGTAATCTGTCACATGTGAGAGATCTTCTGATCACTCAGGCAGCAATCAGATCCACTACGCAGCCTGACAGAAAAGCCAAATAAATGCTAGCGTTCAGAGTAGCAGCAGCATGGGAGTACTGACAAAAAAAACCCATTGGCAGCTGCGGTCGAGGACAGGGCACTGGCAGCTAACCTGATATTCAACCTGCAGCCCTCCTGCTACCACAGCGTCGATCCTCTCCCAGGCCCGTGGTGTGGATGCCTGGTGGTAGACAGAAAGCAGTTTTCTGGACACTGGTGATGGAGAGCAGGGTGGGGAAACCCCAGCTGCCTGTGTAAATCTGTACAGCCACGTTTTGTCTGTGCAAGTTCTCCATTTGTGTGTGCAGGTGGCACTGCCAGCTGGATGGGTCTGTTCTTCACCAACACCCCTTGGCTTGTGTGAAACTGTTAGCTGATGCTCTAGAGAAAATGTCTCCTAAATTCATTTTAGACTTCATTGAAACAGTCTGCAGGCTGCTCATGATGTTAAAGGCCTGATCCTCTCCCTCCTTGTGGTACCACTTTTACTGCTGAAAGGATCTTATTGAAGCATTTTATTAGATGGGGGAGTAGCCCCTATGGATAGGTAGCGCAGAAGCCCCATTGCTTGTGGCCGAAAGCTGCTGTGAACAGTGAAGTGTAATAGGGAGATGGGGGAGATGATCTCATGGGTCTTTCTGTTCCTGTCAGTTACGATTTCTGTGCATATAAAGCCGTTTTAATCCTTTCCATTCAATTGCATTGTATTCACAGAGATGTATTCTTAATAATGACACAAGGCATGCTGCAACACAGGCAAGCTCATAGTCAGACCCTATGACTCAGTTGGCTGAAGTTATTGTCTGAAATAGAGCATTTTAGAATTAAAACTTATTGTTGCTACCAGATTTTGTAGTTGAGCATATTTTGAATGTTCTACGTATAATGCACAAAGGCTAATTCATTAAAAGACTATGAGGGTTGTACAGATGTCAGCATCCAAGAATTAGGCTGTATTAGAATTTGAGATCTGTAACCTTTATTTGACCTTGTAGTTTTATGGAGCATGACCCAGTCCTAATGACCTTCCTCCTCCCATGACCTCTGGCTCTTTGAAGCATGCAGGATGAACAAGGGGCACGAATGTGGCAAGTGCAGAGGACGTGGCAGCAGCTTATGGGGAAGTGTTGGGTAGAGGCATGAGCACTCTTTAGGAAGAGAAAGCACTGTCTTGTGGTGAAAGCACTTTTCTCCCTGTATTGCAACTGTATTGCTACTGTTACGTGTGGTGGTGTTCTCACATTCACAAACCAGATTAAAAAGTGTCTTCCATGCCTAACGAGTGAATGGCTGACCGAAATATAAACTGAAAGGGTCAGATACAAACCTCAAGAGAGTGAAAAGGTTTAATGACCTGTAATCAGGATTTACCAATGATATGTACTTTGGTAATGGCATCACTGTTTTTTTTCCAACACACGGGACACATTTTAGTTTACTTCAGACAAGTCCCTGTTCCCTGTTACTGCTTAACTACAGGATGTTGTGATTATAGATGTAGAGACACTGCTGTTGCAGAATCGGTGATAAATTATGGTGGGATGGCAGCTGTAAATACAGTTTTGCTTGTGATTTAAGAGGGAGATGTGAAGGCATATTGCCCAGATGCTTGATCAATGGTAAATAGGGCCAGCCACGGCATGCTAAAGCTTAGAAGTCCTCACCAGATTTTGGGATTAGAAGTCATCGTTTCAAGCATTAAATCCTCCAGTATCAAAATAATCGGCTGCTCTGGTCCTTCACTTTTCCTTTCTCTTTGGCCGAGATTTATTTACCTTTGCAAGCAGGAACTGACATGCAAGCCTTCTTTTCAGTAATTTTTTGAGCTACAAGAGCTTCTTCAGCAAGTTGCCAAGTATTCAGTGTCTGATTGTGCTACACTGCTGTGCAACTTCATGTCATGTCCCCCTTGACCTTCCCATCCATCTGCTTAACTGGTCAGGAAATATGCAGCTGCTTGGAGCTGCGTAGTTATACTACTTGAGGCTGGAGAAACAATAAACCAGTCATTACAGATTAGTGTGATAAAACACACCAGCAGCAAAATCAGCTATAATCAGGATTCACTTGACACAAAAGGGCATATATCTTTGGTCACTCAGTCCCCTGCTCTGTAGGTGACAGTCCTGTGTAGGTAATATTCCTAATGACTGATGAGGGGCAAGAAAAATTTCAATATGCAACTGCTACCATTGCAGTGATTTTAACCTGGCTCCTCTCAGAGAAACCCCATGTGTCCTGATCTGAAGGCTGATACAAGCTTCGTTATTTTTTCCCTGAAGTGAGAAAGTGACTGCCTCCCCAAGATCTCCCTGGAATTCAGACTAAATGGGGCTTGTATATGCATTGGTACTAAGGGTGAAATCAGGATTGGCAGACTGTGATGTGTGAATTCGCACACATACAAGGACTCGGAACAAGAGTGAATCTTGTTAATTAAGCCAAGACATTTTAGATGGTCTGTGCCTAAAATTGAGTCCTGTTCGGTAAAAGGCACTTTCTCTTGGGTCTCTTTAGTGTCACATTCCATTTACAATTGTAATAAATGCTATAACTTGTTTCCCTCTCCCCTATCCCACAAAAAATGACAGAGAGGAATTTCTTGCTAAGCCTTTGATAACGGTTCTTTCTTTTTGTTCCAGATAACTTCAAACGAGAAGCACTCAGAGAGCCTGAAGAATGATGGTGATGCTCTTATCCAAACTCTAGAGAGCCTGGCCCAAACTGCCAGGTGAGTTCCCTCAGGCTTCCAAGAATTTCCAGGGCTGAGAGCACTCACCTCCTCTTTTGTCTGCAATGGTCTTCTGTAATCGCCTTCTGTGCAGTATAAGCTTCTCAGGTTTCTGTCCCTGGCCCCCCTCCTCACTGCTCTCCTCCAAACTCCTCTCATTCAGAGCTTGCTGGAGTTCCTGCTGCATCATCATCATGCTTTATTCCCAGCTGCAGCGAGCTGCAGTGTGCTGTGCAGTCTGGCTCAATATCTGTGCAAGTGTCAGTTTTGGCTGGTTGGTTTTTTTTGTTTGTTTTTGTTTTTTTTTAATATATTATTTTATTCCAAACACTTGGTCTGTATAACCAGATACTGGTCAGTGGTTCTTGGCAGAGTGGGCTAGATGCACAATGTGATGTTTGTGCCGTGTTTTAAAGTAGTTGTGTTTGGTGCACTTTGCAAGCTGATTACTTTCAAATGCGCAACCAAAGAACAGAACTGCTTTTGTTTAAGAATACCTGTGGCTTCTCTGAGAAGGCGTGACACTTAGGGGAATGCCATGGCCTCCTCTGTGAGAGCAGAGGTGCTAGTCCCAACAAGTTGGCCAAACCTCAGCTCACCTCCCATAGACTTTCCCTCATCTAATCCCCCTTGGATGTATGAATGAATGAATGACTGTTCTCTGCCCCTCAAAACAATTCTTACACTCCTGCCATGGGCTGCTAGGCTGCATTTCATTCCTGGCTGAACTAAAATTCAGAGAAATTGTAGTTTATAGATCAGTTTTTGAAACACTAAGATAATCTTTTTGGTGCTCTTTGTGCTCCCAAATATGTGTCAGCCATTTAGGAAAATTGGCTGCTCGGTATTATGGCAGGGTGAACCCTGTGTTGGAAGGAAGGGGGGATGTGGGCAGATGTGGAGAGGAAATGTTGGGACATAGTGTGTGCAAGGAGATGCACATCGAGGACTAACCAAACCTGTCAAGAACAGTCTGCATCCCTCTGGCATACTCAGCTGCTGACTCACAGGTTTTTGTATGACACATTAAATTATCAAAGTAGAACATCAGCTCTCCCCAAGGGAGACACTGGCATCACCACTGAAGATGATAGTGAGGAAGGATGGGGTTTTCTTCTTTTAGAACTAATTTTCACTCTATTTTGTAGCACTTCAGCATTAGATGCACTAGACAGCCCAGTCGCTTCCTCTAATTGTTATCTATACATTTCTGTGCTCAGAAAACCACATAACACAGAGCCCCAAATAAACAGCACTTGCTCTTATTTGACACCAGATGCTCAGCAGACCAAATTCTAGCTGATGCCAGTGACGAGTGTTTTGATACATTAGGGTAAGCCAAGTCCCTCCACTGTGCCGAGTTCTCGCACTGCAGCAGCAACAGGGAAGCCCCTGAGACCTCACGGGTTGCATTTCCCCTCCTCCCTATCTTTAGGGAACACGTGTCCGTATCCATTTGCCTCCAGAGGAAACTGAGAGGGATTCAACCTGCATCTTGGGGCTGTAATGGACTCGGACATGGATAAATTGGCAACAGGCAGCCAGGAGAAGCCTAGCAAGCTTTATCAGGTTTAGCTGAATGGCTGTTTTGTTCATGGAGGTTATGGATATTCTGCCATCTCCCCTGACGCCCTTATGCGGCATCTTTCCCAGAATATGCCTTGTGACCTAATAAACTTGGTTTCCTTACCTGTGCTTTGAACCTGGTTAAGAAGCCTCTCTGTGTCTTACGCAGAACTGGAAGCCTTTTAGAGAAGGCCACAACTGAGATCCTGGAGCTAAGCCATCCTCCGAGTAGTCTAAACTCCCAGGCCCTTCCACCCACATATTATCACTGGGTTGAAGTGATAGAGAAGTGGTTTTGCTTTGCTCAGTTTTTACAGACAGGTTTCTCATCTTTTGCTCTGCCTGCGTGGCAGGAGGAAGATACCAGCCAAGCAGCCATGTGCCAAGAGAAGGGCACTGCTTGGATTGCAAGCTGCTTTCAGTGCTCTCTGGCTGCTGTGTAGCAGCCATGGATTGCCAGACTCGATCTCTGTGATACATCCTCGGCTAGTCAGAGCAGGCAGTTGTAAGAGTGACTGACACATAACCAACCCATTCTGCTTAGTAGCTATGTGGAATCAAATCTACGCTTTAAAATGTGGGATCATAGCTATTTATTTTTCAGTGAAGACAGTTGCCAAGATGAATTTGTTTCAGATAACTAAATTTTCTGGTTTAAACTGCTGCTCATTAAGACATTGGCTTACCTAGTGTAGACTGCTCATTTGGATTTCCTGGCTAGCTCTGTGTTCCCCAAAGCATGGACTGTCGGTAGGTGTTCATCATTAGCAGCAACAGAGGAAGTTACAGATTGATCTACTAATGTCCTTTCTAAGCTAAAGGTAAGGGATGGTAGTCTATATAAAAATAAAAAGACTTGTTTCTGTGGACTAGCAGCAATGTATTAGAGCCTCTGTTCCAATGCTAGAAAAAAAAACATGTTTCCAGGAGAAATTAGGCAAAATACATATAATAAAAACTTAGGTGAGGAAGCAAAGGGCCCCACTATGCAATCTCAAACCTGCAGAACTCTGTGTGGTGGGGCAGTCGGTCCTCCTTGCAGGAAGTGGACAACACCTTCAGCAGAACCGCCTTCCTGCGCGGAGCAGCACTGCAATGAGAGGGCTGTGTGTGTGAAGAACGCATCTTTCTGTCAAGCTAGAAGTGTGTGAGTGTAGATTCATGGGGGGCATGATAAATTATGTCTTCTTTTTACAGAGGAGATTGAGTGAGGCAGCAGTTACTGTGAACTTGAGCTGAAATTTGTTTACAAAGTGTTCTACAGGGCAGACTCACTAGTTGCATGTTACTGCTTAACAGAAAAGTGGGGTATACAGTGCAGTTAACAGCTATTGAGAATTTTCCAGCATAAAGGCAAATGTAGAATTTGAACAAAAAGTTTTCCCCTGAGACTGTCTAATAGATGTTACTGGTTTTAATTCCTAGCTCTCACGCTGATGCTGCTGTAGCTTCCTTGGCATTTGAAATTCTGAGAACGGTGGGACACGAGAACATCAAGACTACGAAGTGAACCGTTTCTGACCAGCCTACCAAAACGCACACATTGTGTATGCTGCTCAGCACCGCAGTCCCGCAGGAACATCTTCAAACCAGCGGAGCAGATGTAGTTAATTTCGCAAGCAGAGCTGTAGCCATGTATGGGCATACATGTGGAATGTGGGAGGCTTCAAGATGGGAGGGAAACTGGTTTTGGGGTGTTGTTTTTTGTAAACCCCTTTAAGGATGAATTCTTGGTTACTCCTTTACCTTGCTAGCATTACATGATGTAGCTGAAGTATTTGACAGCAAATTTGAAAAGTGTAACTTAAATAAATAGTATAGTTATTTCACAGTATAGACATAAAGTGTTTCACTATTTTAAGCTGCTGTTGATAAATGAACATTTCTTTTTGGACCAGGTGAATGCCTTGGCTGTTTATCTTAAGGGGTCACCTCATGCCTATGACTGGCACTAAACAAGACCTTTTTATCAAGACACTATTCATCACCTCTCGTAACCAGAACCAACACCTGTGATCAGAGAGGCTGTGTGTATATGTGGCATGTAGAGATGATAGATTTTACCAGGTTTTTACCCAGTAGCATGGGCTTTTGTTGTGAGACTGCGTGCCCCTCTGTTGCCTAGCACTGTAGAGCTTAAACTGCACTGGTGAAGCATCCTTCTCAGCTGCCAAGGCTCATGGCTGGAGCTCCTCTTTGAAAATAGGTGAGACAACAAGCCTAGAAGTTTGTCATTTGTCCCCAGTAAAAGTCGATACTCTAGGAAGGGTGCTCTAGAGCTAGCAGATACCACAGTGTGTAAAGAATTAAATTATTCTTCTCCCCATGTGCCCTGAGCAAGCATAGCATGGCTAAGTCTGGTACTTCAATCATTTCTTCCATAATGTTTGTCTTTCAAAGCAGCCACTGCAAGTTCCTGCCGCACCTGCCAAACACACACAGGTGCCTGCCTTACTGAGAATTGCAGCTACAAGACTGCTCTTGGACAGCCCAGTCCTCCAGGGTAGGTGGAGGCAAGCAGCCACCCCTAGGTAAAAAAACTGATTTCACCATGTATGTTTTACAGGAATTGTCTTCTTACATTACTTTAAATATCATTATCTATTTTTCATAAGCTTAACAGCTGGAATTAGAGCTGGAGTTACTAGAAATGGGGAATAGCTAAGTAGGGGCTATTACATGGTAGTATTTTATAGTATTGGTCTTCTAGCATGAGCATGGTGAGAAGAACAAGGCTGAATTACTGGATGAGACTTGCCCCTCTGCTGCTGCAGTGCCTTTGCTCTGCAAGCAAAAGGGGAGGCAGTCTATTCTGTAGTTTTGTTCAGCTCTCATCATCTTGGGATCCTAACTTGAGCTGTGATCCTTTGCAGCCAAGACCCCCTCTGATCTGCTGGCAAACTGCTGCACTGAAGAAGTGGTGCCTGGGAGCATTTGCACTCAGTAGAGGCTGCTGACAGCTGCACCATGCAGATGTGCACAGTCTATGAATTAGCCAGCAGTTTAAGAACCCCTTTCCCTGCTTCCACCCACACAGGTGCTGCCTCCAGAGAAGTCAGTCACACACAGCTCCTGTCTCTCTACCTCACACAGTACCTAAAGACTGAGGACACCTGAAACTGGGTTTCAGCTACTGAACCAGCTCACAGTTTGAGCAAAGGCTCTTCATCTGACCCTAGTGACAGCACACATCTGAAGTGAGCTGAAGCAATATGCCATTATTACTTTTTAAAGCCCAGAAGTGAGCACATGGCTGGCAGGCCAGGCACAAAGGGTAGTAACCTCACCTCTGGCTAGACCTGCCCCATGCTGAGGAAGGGGTCAAAGCAAAGCAGCAGGGCAAGGGAAAGAATGCCCCCTCAGAGGATCCCATTCAGAACAGTTTGTCATTGGAGCTGAGGCTCTCTGAAGGGTAATTGCTCCTTACCAAGGATGAAAGGGCAACAGTTCTGGCTTCCTCCTCTGATGTACTGAAGGTGGTGTGCAAGTCCAGAACAAGTTTCAGAGAACTTTAACAGACAAATACACTTTCTGATCTGAAATAATTTGACACAGAGTGAATTAAAAGTTTACTTTAATTTTGAACCATTTTATAACTGCATTTTTCTCATGAAGCATCTGTATCACAGCAGGCTACAATAACTTTGGGATAAAAGGCAACTGGTAAACTGTCCAATACAAGGTTCCAAATAAACAGTTCTTACTGGCCCCTACCCAGACATATCCCAGATAAAGTTTTTGATCAAAAACATGAAATAGATCCACCTGCTTATTTTAAGCATATTAAAAAGGAAACTAATTGGACCATTTCTATTTGTCTAGTTTTTTTATACAAAAAGGCTACACAATGTTACACTTTATTCAGAATACAGTTAGAGCGATTATGAATTAGTGTTCTACACCTTTACTCAATCCTTAAAAATTAGAAACTGCTGTAGCATATTCACTATAACTTAATACTACGAGAGACTTTAAAAAAAAACTAACAACAATTACTGCAAAAAGAAAGGCTACTTCCAAAGCAAGCAAGGTCAGTACCATTACAGAGATTTAAAAAAAATAATAAATTTTTAACAAGCAAGGCTAGGGTTTGATAAATTCCATCTTGCAATTCATTCTTGTGCATTCTTCGTTTCTTGAATCACTCCCAAAATCCATTTGTATTATTACTCCTCGACCAAAAAGGACCAGAACAAAAAGTTTACTTCAATTGTTCCCATAGGAAACTCAGCTTGGTTAGTGTGTCAGGCACTTTCTGAGATACTAGCCCACCCCTCGAGCCCTCTCAGCAACTCTACAGGCCAATCAATGCAAGTTCATTCAGATGATACAGCTGCAAAGAGGAAAAAAAAACAGGTGTCAGTGCTCCCAAGTAAAGGCCTGTTTTAACACATCAAGACTGCATGAAGCCAGTGCACAAGACATTATTACAGTTAATTACTTCCACACTTCATGGCAGAAGTCAGTTTGGAGTGTACTGATCATGTGTTTCCAGAGTGCTTATTCATTATTGTGGCACCCAATTGAGCCAATCCCTCCCTGCCAACCAAGTCCTCAGTCCAGTCATCTGTTTTTTCTCTTGTTTTGTTTTTAAATTCAAGGTTGGAGCTTCTTACCTAAAGGATGATTTACAGGTCAGTATCGAACCAGGCCAACTGATTACTGTCACCTGGAGGCAGCCCATCCATAAGGTCCTGGGCATGGCCAAGATCTGGCAGACCATCAACTGGGTAGTCAGCACCAGGGTGGTGGCCACCCATTTCATGTTCCATCATAGGGTCCATACCCAAGGCATCCTGACCGTATCCGCCAGAGTGGAAAGAACGGTAGCTAGGATCTAAGAAAGTTAAAGGTGGCAGAGGGAAAAAAAGCATAATGTTAACAGATGTTAGATGCATCAGAAGCTGCAAGTATCAGTGTGTGAGAAGATCGTTGTAGCCATCTAATTTTTTTCTAGTTCAGCCAAGTTCAAAACAATCTGTGGCCTGCCCTTAATGGCTATTCCATTGTTCGAAACAGCCTTCCAGTATGATTCTGCAGACAAAGCACACTGCAGGCAGAAGCACGAGCAGATTCCAGCCAAGCCATTAGTCTGCACAATCAACAGTACTAAAATTCAACAATACTGCAGCAAAACCAGGCTCCAAGACTGTGGACTGGCTTCTGAAAGACTAGTCAAAAATAGCTTAGAATCCTTAGGGATAGGCTTGCATTCAAGTCTATAGACACTTACAGACTAACACATTCAATACCAGCTTTTTTGTTTTAAAGAAAAACTGCACTATTGGAATTGTCAAGTCCATTTGTAAAGAATGTAGAAGATTTCTGGAAACAACAGCTCAGCGGGACATTCTCCCACAAGACCCAGACAAGAGACACCAGTTTTGCATGTTCATACAGCTCCCACTTCAGCACTGCCAGTGGTGTTGCAGAAACTGGTTATTTGAACTGGCAGTTCCCCATCTGCCTGTCAGTTTGCAATACCTTGCTGAAGAGTTAATTCACTCTTCACTCATTTGCGGTTCTCCTTTAAAAATCTATGACTTGACTTCATCCAACTTAGGTTTAGTCAAGGGGAACAGAAGAGACATACCATCTGGGCGGTATCCAAGAGGTTCTCCCTGGGCACCAATATCAAGTCCAAGATCTGCTGTCTAGATGTACACAAAAAGTTACAAAACAGTTTTAATGTCAGGTTTTGGGGCCAGCGCTAGTAATTCTGAGTTTAAAAAGTTCTGAAGCTTGCCCCAGATCCCTTTTTAGCAACTCTTCTGCAGTGAGCACTGCAGCATGTTACTTTCGTGAACATGGAACACCTTTTTTATCTAAGCATCTGCATCCAATATACAACAGCCAGATTTAGGCATAGGAATCCACAGATCACTGGAAAGAGGGTTCTGTTTGGGAATGAAAGAGATGGGGCAGGTCTAGGAACACTCACCCTCAGGTACACCTGCCCCAACTCCTGCAAGTCAGCTGTTCAGAGGTTCCTGAGCCAGCAATAGAGCTTTTAAGGGTTCTGAAAGGACCTCCCCCAGTTTGCACAATTACAGAATTAATTGCCTGTCCGTAGTGCAACTACGTAACTCCAATCTCAGAGAGACTCCATTTTAGCTTTTTTTTTTTTTCACATTACTGTGGTAGATACAGGTTTTAGGAAAACAGAAAAGCAAGCACTGAAATAGTACAAATCAAGGGCTACTGTTCCTTTATTTAGTAAAAACATACATGCCAAGACAAGCTGGGCTCCTGAATCTTAAGAATCTGGGGGAAGACAGAGACTTCATGAAACCTTCCCTCTACCCCATGTACACAGTTTGTTTTCAGTCTCAATGCACTGTGTAGCCCTTTAAGCACAAAAAAAAAAGGCAATGTGTGATAATCAGCCTGTAAACATATTCAAGCCTGAAGGAGAACACAAGTTGCATTCCCACCCCAAGATTACTAGCCCTACACCATTTGCTTGATGGAAGCCTTACAAGATGTGTTTTATGTTTACGATTCCCTCCT